TATCCTAAAACTAATTTAAGGCAACTTATAGAGAATTCAATGCTCTTTTAAACGATGTATGATTAAAGCAAATTTGCTCAAATAACATCGAAGATATGAGCAACTATTCATAATGATGTCAAGAATTTTAAAAAAATTCTAGAACCAAAAGATGATTTTTTCCCATTTAAAATTGTCATACGGAAATGAATAATTCTGAAAATAATAATTGAGATTTTGAGTGTAAAGAACTCCTAAATAAGCTCCAATATTTAATAAGAGATCGCTGGTATAGGTAACTAGAGAGTGAGGTAATGATTTAATCTTGATTTTGATTGATCTACATTAAATGATCGTTTGTGGATTGATTTGTTTTTTTAAGTTGCTTTTCAAGATTTTCTCATGTTGCCATTTTCCATCGAATCAATTTGAAATTTCAGTATGATGAGCTCTTTTTCTTCATCTTCTTACTCCAGAAGTTTCAAAATGTTCCCATCAACAGTCAAATTCAAAATGTTAAATCAAGTCGTATATACATATAGATGATGCCAAGAGTATATCCATACAGATATTGATACCTGAATTCGAAATATCGATACAAAAGAAGGTGATTGATGTTTTGAAAATATCGTATAGAAAATGGAAATATCCATAGACGGAACTGTACAAAAAACGTTATTCTGGTCTGTGCGGTTACTGTGAGAATTGAGCTTGAAGTTTCTGTCGATATATTAAATGAAGCTCAACTTTGACGCTCTATAGCTTGATCATTTTATGCGCTATCCTAAAACAAATTTAAGGCAACTTATAGAGAATTCAATGCTCTTTTAAACGATGTATGATTAAAGCAAATTTGCTCAAATAACATCGAAGATATGAGCAACTATTCATAATGATGTCAAGAATTTTAAAAAAAATTTAGAACCAAAAGATGATTTTTTCCCATTTAAAATTGTCATACGGAAATGAAAATAATAATTGAGATTTTTGAGTGTAAAGAACCCCTAAAATAAACCCCAAATTGTAATATTTGAAGCAACTCACACATCATTTATTATTATTCTCGGCCGACATAATGGGAAGTGAAAACCCATCATCGGGGTCACGATCTCCATTTAAACTTTATCATCCGCTGTCTCGTTAACAAATTTGCATTGAATGAAAAAAGAAGAAGAACCGTAGAAGATCAATTTATCACCGTTCGTCGGGTTTTTAGTGAAAATAACCATCAACTTTGCCGACCTTTAAAAGGTGTGATAAATACGTTTCTAAAAACATCTTTATTGCTTTTGGTGTAAAGATTAATGCTTCGCCAGTTGAAAAAGCAATTAAGTGCTCGCGTTAATTAAATAATCCATGAATGAATGATCTTATTTAAGACATTTTCATTGATAGGTGAGTATTTTAATTTGGGAATTTTCGGATTTTTTGGCCTACAAGTTTTCATTGTCTTTGGAACTTGTAGAAGTCTTAAGGTTCCTTATTTCCGCAGATTTTCTTAGAATGTCTGGAATTTCTACCGATTTCTTTGATTTTTCTCAAAAATTTCTTATGTTCCCGCAAACTTACTCAATTAACACAAAATATCATCCACCTGGTCACAAAATCATGTTCGAAACGGTGTCATTTAAATTACCTGACCGAAAATATTACATAAGTCAATTAATAATGTCAACAACCTGAACCGATGATAATATTCAAAATAATTAAATTCAAGGTTTACAAAATACTAAAACATAAATTGATGATTATACCTTAGTAGTAGGTGCAACCACACCACACAGATTCAATTTCCGCTCTATTTACCATTAAGAATTCAGCAGTAAATAATTATAATAATTACGAACACACATTATCATCATCGTCATGTAATTCTCCAGTTTTTTAAAACCTTTTAATAATAATTGATGGGTATGAAATGTCAAAAGAAATGAATAGACCATTGATTGGCCCTCTTCCTGGTTTATCATCGAACTTATGAAAAGGTCACAATGAAAGTAAAACAAGAAATTTAATTTTCTATGAACAGGTGCTTAATCTATTTATTATTAGAAATACTATAAGCGATATCGGATATTTGATTTACAATCTTGTTCTACATTCAATTTCCTTGTTACGGCGTAAATTTTTCGATTAATGATTTTCTAAAATATTAATTAGATAATTTCCTCATATTTTTACTCAAATAATAATATGTTAATTTTATTCGACGAAATTATTATTTATAGCAATAATTTCTTTTTTAATTGAATATGTAGCATTTATTGTTCGAGTTGTGCAATAGACGATGAAGAGAATATGACGGGATTTTTGTTTCAAAATCTTCAGGTTCTTGACATAAAATGTTCATAGTTTGTAACTCTTATTATGGTAAGTACCAAGGAATCTTATAAGAACCAGAAAAATTGCAAAGATAATGAGTCAGAGATTCAGAATCTGCAATGGAGAGTTTTTTAAGAGAATAATTTAGTTTAAATAGTTCAAAAAGTTTCTGAAGCTCCAGAGAAATTTCCAGTTTTTGTATAGGATTCAGAATCTAAAAGTTCTAAGAATCTAACAGCATTTGAAACATCTAAGGATCTTCTAATAAAAAAAAAAAACAAGCATTTTGCAAACTAATGAGTCAAAAATTCGGAATTTGTAGTCTTTTTAGAAGAACTAGCTCGGAGTTCAGGATCTGAAGTTAGGGGAGTTTTTCCAAAAAATCATAAAGAAGTTTCCAAGCTTTGTAGGATTCAGGATTGAAAATTCTCATGAAGAACCCAGGAACTTTGCAAAGTAATAATGACTCTGAGATTCGCAATCTGGTAAGTCTTTTTTATGGAAGATTCGGGAAACTTATGCAGCTGCAATGACTCAGAGTTCATAATCTTAAAGTCTCTAGAGTTTTCTCATGTAAAAGTACCAAGAAGTCTTCAAAGTTCGCAGAATGAAAATATCGAAGGAAAACAGAATATTTGCAAAGCGATTCAGTTTCTAAGAATATAAAGCCTCTAAGAACCAAAAAGACAAATTTGAAATTTCATTGTTTTAGTAAGAAGGTACGAAGGTTACCTTATGATTTAGATTTTGGAAAACTTTAAAAGGTCATAACTTTTTTTCTATTATGGATAGAAAGCTGAAACTTTCACTGAATTTTATCCCAATCAAGGGACTACAATCCCTGAAAATTTCAGCTTATTTGCACTTATAGTTCCTGAGATAAAATCGTGTTAAGCAATTTGGGGTGATTTATCAATTTTTCAATTTTTCTGAGTGCCTTTTTTCATAGATTTCGGCTTCAAATCTGAGAATAATTTAGTGTATAGAGTTTGGGATATGTTGATTGACCATTAGGATACAAAATCTCGATAAAAAAAAATTGAAATTTCATTGTTTTAGTAAGAAGGTACCTACCTTATGATTTAGATTTTGGAAAACTTTGAAAGGTCATAATTTTTTTTCTATTTTAGATAGAAAGCTGAAACTTTCACTGAATTTCATCCCTTTGAAAGGACTACAATCCCTGAAAATTTCAGCTCATTTGCACTTATAGTTCCTGAGATAAAATCGTGTTTAGCAATTTGGGGTGATTTATCAATTTTTCAATTTTTCTGAGTGCCTTTTTTCATAGATTTCGGCTTCAAATCTGAGAATAATTTAGTGTATGGAGTTTGGAGTATGTTGATTGACCATTAGGATACAAAATCTCATCAAAAAAAAATTTGTAAATTTCATCGTTTTAGTAAGAAGGTACCTACCTTATGATTTAGATTTTGGAAAACTTTGAAACGTCATAACTTTTTTTATCTTATAGATAGAAAGTTGAAACTTTCACTGAATTTTATCCCAATCAAGGGACTACAATCCCTGAAAATTTCAGCTCATTTGCACTTATAGTTCCTGAGATAAAATTGTGTTAAGCAATTTGGGGTGGTTTATCAATTTTTCAATTTTTCTGAGTCTGAGTTTGGGATATATTGATTGACCATTAGGATACAAAATCTCGACAATTCGAAATTTCATCGTTTTAGTAAGAAGTTAGCTTCCTTATGAATCCTATGGTTAGAAGGATGAGTATAAGTAACCTTCAACGTTTAACTTTGGTTAGACAGAGTTTACTTTATGATTTAGATTTTGGAAAACTGTGAATATTTGGCTTTATCGAGTATAACAATTTTTCAGGAGAAAAGTTAGAATCCAGCTAGAAGTCAAATGGCAGAGAGAAAACATATAATAGGTTTCAGATTTGAAAAATCATAACTACATTATCTTTGATTTTTATGTCATGAAATTTTAGCATGTTAGAGCCAGAAGCTTCCTAAATACCTACAAAAATATTCAACACTTTATCAAGTAGTTATAACAACTTTCTTAGAGAATCATTCGAATCCAATAAGAAGCCAAATGGCAGAGAAATCACTCAGTATGTTTGCCAATCATAACTAGATTATTTTTAATTTTTTTGTTATAAAATTCTGGTAAGTTAGAGCCAAAAGCTTCCTAAATACCTGAAAAAATATTCAGTTTTACCAAGTATAAAAACTTTCCAGGAGAAAAGCCAGAATCCAGATAGAAGCCAAATGGCAGTATGTCTTTCAGATTTGAAAAATCATTACCACATTGTTTTTGATTTTTATGTCATGAAATTTTGGTATGTTAGAGGTAGAAGCTTCCTTAACACCTAAAAAAATATTCAGTTTTATCAAGTACCTATAACAACTTTCCTGGAGAAAAGTCAGAATCCACAGAGTAGCCAATTGGCAGAGAGATCAAGGAATATGTCTTGAAAATTAAATTATTCCAAATCAATTCTGTTTGTATATAAATCTCCTATACTAGGAATAATCGATAGTGTTAAATAGAAATTTTAATTTGAAATGTTTGCTCAAACATCTCGAATTAATTTTCCCATTAGTGAATGGTGGTTGACCTTTTTGACCTTCTTCAAGTTGTTATTTGATGAAATATATTATGTATTAATATATGAGTGGGTTTTTCAGTTGAATATCGATATTTTTATACAAAAACAAAAATCTTACCTTGTTTCGTTGGTTGGCTGCTCAATAGGCAAAGATTTGATTGACCCTCTGAAACAAACACTTTCATTATTAATTGTCATTTTCTAATAATAATTATTGATTCTTCAAGTATGACAAACTTGTGGGCATCCAAAAATTAACCAATTGCTGTTAAGCAATTTCTCTTTTGTTTAAGCTACCGAACATTAAGATGTTTGATTTTCCTATCGAAAAAAACAATGGGCCTCATAAATAATGCATCAGATTAGCAAAAGAATTAGTTTAAGGCCGGCAAAATTAATTGCACCCGTTACAGATACATTAATTTATCGATCGTAATTATTTTATAATTTTTCAAATATTTCTTGTCGAATTAGGCGAGGCTTAAATGTCAGGCGAGGTAATTTTGATGGTACAAATAATATGATTTTGATAATAATGCCTGGACCAATTAAGACTTATTATGCAACTATGCCAATATTTGAAATAATTACAATATTATACAAATGACATTTTAATATCCCGTTATTATCATATCTTTAATAATTAATCTTGTTACGTTATAATGGCACAAATAAATCATTTTCTGATCGATGTAGGTTTTCAGAAATCCACAAACGTGAAAGGTTTGATAGAATACCAATTCTCAAAGTGGTACCGATTATTATTTTAATATGTCAACAAATAACAAAGATCATAAAAATCTATGGTAATTATTCTTTAACAGTACCCTGCCTGCCTCGGTACTTGCGGTACTGTTGAGATCACTTTTTCATTGCAACGGTTCATAAGATTTGCATAAGAGGCGACCTTGGCAGGAACGCGAGAAAATGAGATAATAATGATTGAAAAGAGACTGAGATTATGCAGAATTGTTACTATTTTATAATGCATTGCATAGTAGGATTATTGTTTTGTATTTTATTTATTTTTTGTATTTCTAATGGAGTGAGCCAAAGCAAGGTACAGTGTTACCAATGACCCGATAATTATCGAATTCTACCATAATTTTGACTGCGATTCAATAATCGATAATGACAAGCTAATCTACCATAATTTCAATATAGATTTTTCAAATTTCTAGTTAAAAATTAAAAATTTATTAAAAAATTGAAGGTGGTTGTTGGTTTTGAGTGTTTTGACGTACTGGTGCGAGCACCAAACACTAGTCCCAGATTGAGCCAAAGTTTCATGCCAATAACTTTACTGGTTTCCACAATATGGCCTTTAAAATATTTGAAAATCAAATTCCCATACATACCCCTTTGGAAAAATTCGAATTTTTAAATTTTTAGATTTTGCAATATTTGACCTTACCAATCAAAAGAGGAAATCAAAATTAGTAAAAAAACATTTTTGCAACTTTGTTTTTAGAGTTTTAAAGCCTTGTAAAAAAATAGAAACGATTTTTGGGCTCAAAAAAGTTCAATAATCTGACATTCTTTCACAAAGTTGCTGATTACTGGGTTATTATTGTAACAAATACAATGTAGAATTATATATTCTGAATCAGAATTAAATTATCCTCAAGATAAAATAAGACTCAATTCTATATATCTTAAATACTTGTAAAGTTATTGAGACTCAAAGTTGAAACTTTACCTCAAATTTAGCAAAAGCCTTCCAGGCGGATTATCTTGAAAACGAAGTCCTTGGGCTCGGAGTCTTGAATAACCTTTTTTGTGTCCCTTATTAAAAGCTACAATTAGGCAAAAGATTCATGCCAATAACTTCACTGGTTTCCAAAATATGGCCCTTTGAAATATTTGGAAATCAAATTTCCATGTATACCCCTTTTGAAAAGTTCGAATTTTTAAATTTTTGGTTTTTCGAATTTTTGACTTCACCAATCGAAAGAGAGATTAAAATTAGTAGAAAAGCATTTTTGCAACTTTCCTTTTTGGGTTTTAAAGCCTTGTTAAAAAATAAAAACGATTTTTGCAATTTTTGGGTTTAAAAAATTTCAATAATCTGACATTCTTTCACAAAATTGCTGATTACTCGGTTATTATTATAGCAAATATAATCTAAAATTATATATTCTGAATCAGAATTAAATTATCTTCAAGACAAAATTAGATTCAATTCTATATCTTAAATACTTCTGAAGATATTGAGGCTCAAAGTTGAAACTTTAACTCAAATTTTGCAAAAGCTTTCAGGCGGATTATCTTGAAAACGAAGCCCTTAGGCTCAGAGTGTTAAATCACCTTTTTTGTAGCCCTTATTAAAAGCTACAATTGGGCAAAAGATTCATGCCAATAACTTTACTGGTTTCCAAAATATGGCCCTTTGAAATATTTGGAAATCAAATTTCCATGCATACCCCTTTTGAAAAGTTCGAATTTTTAAATTTTTGGTTTTTGGAATTTTTGACTTCACCAATCGAAAGAAGAGATTAAAATTAGTAGAAAAGCATTTTTGCAACTTTCCTTTTTGGGTTTTAAAGCCTTGTTAAAAAATAAAAACGATTTTTACGATTTTTGGGCTCAAAAAAATTTCAATAATCTGACATTCTTTCACAAAATTGCTGATTACTCGGTTATTATTATAGCATATATAATCTAAAATTATATATTCTGAATCAGAATTAAATTATCTTCAAGACAAAATTAGATTCAATTCTATATCTTAAATACTTCTGAAGATATTGAGGCTCAAAGTTGAAACTTTAACTCAAATTTTGCAAAAGCTTTCAGGCGGATTATCTTGAAAACGAAGCCCTTAGGCTCAGAGTGTTAAATAACCTTTTTTGTAGCCCTTATTAAAAGCTACAATTGGGCAAAAGATTCATGCCAATAACTTTACTGGTTTCCAAAATATGGCCCTTTGAAATATTTGGAAATCAAATTTCCATGTATCCCCTTTGGAAAAATTTTAATTTTTAAATTTTATGGATTTTGCAGTTTTTGATTTCACCAATCGAAAGAAGAGATTAAAATTAGTAGAAATGCATTTTTCCAACTTTCCTTTTTGGGTTTTAAAGCCTTGTTAAAAAATAAAAACGATTTTTGTAATTTTTGGGCTTAAAAAATTTCAATAATCTGACATTCTTTCACAAAATTGCTGATTACTCGGTTATTATTGTAACAAAAATGATCTTAACTTATATATTCTCAATCAGAATTGAATTATCTTCAAGATAAAATTGGATTCAATTCTATATCTTAAATACTTCTGAAGATATTGAGGCTCAAAGTTGAAATTTTATCTGAAATTTTGCAAAAGCTTTCAGGCGGATTATCTTGAAAACGAAGCCCTTAGGCTCAGAGTCTTTAATAACCTTTTTTGTAGCCCTTATCAAAAGCTACAATTGGGCAAAAGATTCATGCCAATAACTTTACTGGTTTCCAAAATATGGCTCTTTGCAATATTTGGAAATCAAATTTCCATGTATCAAATCCTGATAATTTTAAATTTGACATTTGACAACACTGGTCACAAATATCTTCACTGGGATGTATGTAGATTAAAAATGTGAAAAATTGTAGCTCCCAAATCAAATTATGTTAAATCTTTCGTTTGCTTCCGTAATACAATTTCCATAATCATCATTAATCAACCCAAAGATACAAATTCACCAATTAATTTTACGTTTTATGTAGGTACTTAAGTACCATTCCTCTATATAAATACCACACAAAAGACTTACATAATTTGTATTTAATTGTAATGATTTTTAACACCTTTCTATATATCTCAATGAGGAGATTGTAATCGGTCAAAATAAAGCGATTTGGACAATGTGGCATTAAACAACATGTGTTAATGTTGTTTTTCTATGAATCACTTTCTATATTATAAAATAATGTAAAATGAAATAATAATCGAAATTGAAAAACGATCGTTTCCTGCAACGCCAAACGTGGCCGCAGCAATTTCACTACTGAGTTTTCACTTTTTACAAAACACATTTGATGGGAAAATGCGCCGAAGAAGAAAATTTATCGGTAATTACTTGTTTAATTAAAACATCAATCTAATTAAAGGCCCAAGAGTGTGATAAACCTCTTTTTATACTACTAAAACTAGATCAATTAATGGTATATTTAAAATGTTATTCTGGTTCATTGATAATCATCACAATTATTATGATAATCAAGAAATCATGTCATGGATTAGGTATTGATGATTTCAGTCCGTGAAAAGTGTTATAATTGCTTTTTATTAATAGCTATCGCACTATTGCCACATAATTCGTTGCGGTTAAAACAATAACGAAAAATTTCACTTTTTTTTAATAAAGATCGCAATCTGGGCAATAAATATGAGAGATTTTCAGCCGAATGTCATCACACCTGTCCGCACCTTACATCAAAAGGAGACAGATGAAATAATTGTTGCTTAAAATTTATCGCTCGTGCTTCAAAGTGGAACAGAAACATAATAATAATCGTAAAAAAAATGGCACGCCTCTGGTAATTTCATTTTTGCTTGCGTTTTTCTTCAGAAAATCAGTTTTCTCAAATCAGATTTGCTTTTAGGCTCCAAACATCACACGATCTTGAAGGCCGTTTCTAGTCCAATTTAGGATTAAAATTCTCAAGAAGTTAATTAAACTATTAGATATTTCTTGATTATATCACTCGACATTGACCTGGTACCTTGCAACAAAGATGTATGGCGAAGAAACGAAAGTTCCTGGGTCGATACCAATGAAAAATCAATTTCCTCACTTAACCTTAGTCCAAAACGAATGAACGATTTGTCTTTATTACGACTAATTACCAAAACAAGCTATTTATGTAGGTATTTGTGAAACAATCTCTTGTAAGGTGTTCAATAATGACAATAATAATAAATGACAAACAAATATATTAAAAAAGGTAAATAATAAGAATTTAAAAGAAAAATGGTGAGATCAAACAACCACTAAATTTCAATCCTTTTCACCTAAGTTCTACCTTGCCACAAAATTATCAGATTCCAAAAAAAAGTATCAGAAAAAGTTTCTGTCAACTTTTTTGACTTTTTATCTCTATTTTCATTTTTCGGGTTCTAGCTGCGACTCTGACAATTGTAACTCTCAATAAGAGCGTCAAAAAAGGTTATTCAAGACTTCGAGCCCA